AAAAAAAAAAAAAAAAAAAAAAAAAAAAAAAAAAAAAAAAAAAAAAAAAAAAAAAACCATGAATCAGAATCTTTACAAAGCAGTTTATTAAATATCCGCACAACGCATCCGTAAATACACAATACATGAAAAACCTTGGTTCTCTCGCATATAAATACAGTATGAGAAAGAGTAGATCCCCAACATATTACAATCTCGTGATTTCCAGGCTATTGGAAGACCGCTGTTTGGCGTCCGAGTGGCTGGACCTTCGGTGCCTGGAATGGGCATGTCCCTCGGAGCGAAACGAGTCGTTCTGGCGCTTGTGCTTCTCCAGCTGGACGGCGATGAATCGTGGACTCGGCCCGTCCAAGCACTCGCAGCTCAGCGTCGCGTCAAGCTCGCTCGGGTAAGGCGTTGCGATTAAAAGGCTCTCCGTCGACTTTGTTGGCTGAAAGTGCCGACTACTGCCCGAGTACACTTGTGTGCTTGAGGTTCTTCGTTGTGATGGTTGCTGCGACGAGCAGCTACTGGAAGTTGGGGTTTTTGCGCGGCCGTGGTGCGACGCTGTAAAAAGCCATACGATTTTTGCATCCAACTATTTTTTATTCAAGTACGATATGAGCAATTCAACAAGACAAAACTACAGTCATGAAAATTTCCTTTCAACGTGCTTGTTGGTCTAAGGAAAATCAAGTTTTGAAAAATGGCCATTTTTTTCCAGAAGAGCCCATATCCCCCATGTACACACCAAGAGTTGTTTTTTCTTCCATTTACGTACATTTTTGTTATTTTCCAAAATTCGAAAGCTAATAAATTAAAAGGTGTGTGTACTTTGAGGTAATATACAACGATGGACACACGAGATATATTATTACCAGCTTTGGATGGCCGCTCGGCACTGTGGGTCGCCTTGGCGGTGTCGAGGTAGCCGTATCCAAAGCCATAGCCGCCAAAGGCCTTGGTCGCCAAGTTGTCCCACGACTTGGGCTTGGCGTACTGTAAACAGGGCGGCGGCCTGTGCTGAACGTTCGGGTCCCAATAGAGGGTGTCCGTGCTGAGGCTCGTCGTGCACGAAACCGTGTCGGCAGCCGACACGTCACTGCTCGCTATCGAGTGCAAACTGTGACCCGAGGCACGCGAACAGTTGTGCTGGTGATCCCGGGACTGGGTCTGCTGCTGCGCGTCCCGCTGCTCTCGCTGCGTCTGCGTTTGATGCGTCGCTTGGGCATGTTGTTGTTGTTGCTGTTGCTGCTGCTGCTGCTGTTGTTGCTGTAAATGGTGGTGCTGAACACCGGCATGGTCGAGCCGTTTCGTATGAGTTAAGTATAACGATACTCATTTTTTGCAATGCTCGGTATATTGTAAAAATTACACGAAGAAGACGCAAAGAATGACGAAAGAAAATAACGATACAGGTACAAGTACATTGCACTGCCTCTTGACAGAAAGTTTGCCGATTTTCACAATTGTGACGCGACGCGGAAAAAAAGCCATTAAAGCCATTCAAGACAAACAATAACGCATTGTTTGGCCAAAAACTACTACAGCATCATAAACCCGAGACAACGATTTCGCGTAAATAAAAAAAAAAAAAAAAAAAAAAAAAAAAAAAAAAAAAAAAAAAAAAAAAAAANCCACCTGATTTCAACGTTTTTTCAATGACGGTAGACGATTTTTGGTTGTACATAAATCAGGTAGAGAAAGATGGAGTAAAACAGTTTTTCGAGTTAAGTTCAGTAGCACTTGTAGCTAAAAGTATTCCACATGCGAACGCGACGCCAGAGCGGACCTTCAGTGATTTAATAGAGACGAGATCAAAAAAAAGAAACTGCTTGAAGCCAAAAACTGTTGATGGAGTAATGCGAGCTTGACAATTTGTACGATCGTATAATACCAATGGAAATGTTGAGCCACCCGAAGAAATGATTGATTTGTACTCGAAACGTCAGTACTATAAGAGAAAGAACATGAGTAGAATTGTCAAGAAAATAAGATCACGTAATAATGTACAGAAGACGTCAAAAAAAAAAAAAAAAAAAAAAAAAAAAAAAAAAAAAAAACAAATTGTTCCAAATGATGAGTTAGCAATCGCGTGTATACCTGCTGATTGAGTTTGCCGTTGCTGCCGTGGGACGAAGAATTAGCCTTGCTTTTGCCCTTGGAGGGTGTGTTGTTGCTAAGGAGGCCGTTAGACGAGGACGAGGCCTGGTGGTAGCTGTGCCGGGACGACGTGGTCGGGGTCGCCGTGGCGGACTCGTGCACCGAGACGTTGGAGAGAAAGTGGTGGTTGTCACTGCGAGAACGGGGGGGTCCAACGGCCACGAGGCACGCCGAGTTCCGCGGTATGAGGAAGGACCGACCGTCGGCGTACTGTGCACGAGAAAAATTGCTCCTTGAATGGTTTTACACACCCGCGGTTAGAGACCGGGCTCGCGAGCAAGGGGGAGGGGGTTGGGTGGGTGGGTTGGGTGATATAACGTATGTACCAACCACGCTGTAGAGCAAAAGGTGCTCGGTCGAGGAGGCAGGCCTGCAGCAGCCCGAGGAGACCGTAACCGAAGAGCCGAGGGTTGCGCTGGACGAGGGACCGGCGTCCGATTGTAGGGTGCTCGGGGTGCGCTTGCGGGCCGGCAACGAGTGGGTCTTCCAGCGGCCCATCAGGATCGAGCGCTCCCGCTCGCACAGGCGCTCGAGCTCGCTCAGTCGGCCCTGTAGCATGCGCTGTAGCTCGATGTAGCGCATGTGGAGCTCAACCTGCGACCACGCAATGCTTTTCCGTACAAGTATAAAAAAACAAAAAAAATGTATATAGGTACACAATACCTTTCTGACGCAATCCTCGAACGAGACGACCATTCGCATGCGGGAGTCGCAGTTTTTGATGAAGTTGACGAGGGTCTTGTGATCCGCGCGGTCCATCTCCTGGCCGTTTATCGAGATGATGACGTCGCCCTCGCGCATTCCCGCCTTGAAGGCCGGCCCGTCGTACTCGACGTAGTCCACGTACGTCACCATCTCGATCTCCTGTTCCCTCTTGTAGTGAATGCCGTAGCTCTGGGTACAGTTGCGAGAATTAGGCATTTTTTTGTTGTTTTTTTCTTTTTACCTTTCTTTCGTACATTATTACCTGTAACGTGAAGCCGTACGTGCCATTCTTCTTTTCGACGATAATGGTGCGCCTTCGCCGATTCTCGTCGCTTCGCGTCGACCGGTCCGACTTTGTCCTCTCGAGAACAGCCTATAGTCGACAAACACCCACACGCACGCATGCACGTCGTTATTATTATTATTATTATTATTATTATTACGTTGTTTTGAGATTAAGATGTTTATGTTGCATCAGTACTTTTTTATGCTTTTTACTGAAAATTGCTTGTATGCATTTTTTGTGGCGTGAATCATTGCAGCCTATACACAGAGTGTCCAATTACCTACGTTGATTATATATATATAGATTTGTGCAGCAAATATCTGTTTGTGATACTTAAACTTTGTTTTTTCTTGTTTAGACATTTTGCATCATTGGGCATCATTGGGAAAAAATTATAATAGATACAAAGGTACAAGAGGTAAGTAAGGGTGTATTTGAATAAGCATAAGCGAAAGTGCACGTGCAGACCACGTGATGTAAGCAAATCAAATGATTGTATACAATAGCCTTTTTTATACTCGTGATGTATGGAAAGTACAATTAATTTAGAAATCGTTACTCTCGTGATAATAAACTACGTGTTACGTGATGACACCTCACAACGAAGCGACGCCTGAGGTATATTAATACCAAAAAAAAAAAAGCACACGTACAAACGTGGCGCTAATAAACAACGAACGAGTATACTGGTGCGAGGGATCTTTCGTGAAATGAAAATTGTTTAAACAAAGCTCACCCGTATTTTGGAGTAATGCCTGTCCGTATACATTTTTTTTTGGAATTAAAAAGCATGCAGAATCTGAAAGAGAAAAGATAAGAAAAAACAAAGAAACTCTTGTCATCCAAATGGCATTTAATCGTCGCTAGTGTATACAACATTGCGCCTGGCACAATCGACCAAAAAAACCCCCAAAAAAATATTTAGTTTTCGTCAAATCAATTTTGGCACCCCTGAAATTTCCATCGCTACATCCTCCAACGCGTACCTACGTTTTTTTTCTCACCCGAGCAGGCCGCGATACTTATACACTGTTTATTGATCCCAATCATATGATTCGAAAGCTCGCCTGACAGCAGCGTACATATTGTATACAAAGCATTTTTATCCCGGCCCTCTGCCAGATAAACAACACTGACCATGCACACACGCGGGCGCGCGCGTCCCCTCGTCCATTCAACCTGTACCCTTCTGTTGTATACTTTCTCCTTACCCTCACCCCCTGAAGGAAAAAAAAAAAAAAAAAAAAAACCCAAGGAACTATAAGTAATTACACGCTCGACGAGGCTGCTCCATTCCTCGTCGTCGCTGAGCTCGATACCGGCGCTGTTCCTTGGATTACCGCTGCCAGAAGCGCTGGCTACACAGGCCGAGGTCGGCTGCTGTTGGTGGCTACCACCCGGTACCGTCGCCTCCTCCGATTGCTGTACCTCCAGGTGGTGCTGCTGGGGCGAGCCGTTCATGGCGTCGTCGTCGAGAGCACGGCCTCCCGCTCGGCTACATCGCCACAACGAGACCCCCTTTTGAACCCCCCCTCCCCGCGCCCGCCAACGAGACGTGCGACAACAACAGCCGCAGAGAGAACACTGTATCCCCTGCCCACCCCCGCCCCGTGTGTAGGGGTGGAAGGCTGCCAAAGAGATGCACACGCAGGCGCTGGAATATCGGCGACGGCGCATCACGATTACAAGGGTATATATATATATACGCGCCGGTGAACGACCTCGCTTGCAGCTTGTACTGTTGTTCTTCTCGGCCTTTCGCTTTCTTTACATATTTTATACACACGAGTACCTTATAAATAATGTATTCTCGTTCTGCATCAATTAAGGGACGAAAATCACAGTGGGTCGAAGGGGGTTGTTTTTATTACTCGATGCACGAAAAAATCGTATTTTTTCTATTTTTATTCCGCGCGACTCAATGTTCCACAAATATGTTGTTTTCGCTCATTTCTTGTTCTTTTTTTTCTTCTTGGACTTGCCGTCCGAGCCATCTTTGTCCACCGGCTGGTCGCACGGCGATGGGGCGTTTTGCCGCTCGAACTCGCTCATCGTGAGCTTTGGGAGTACCGGGGCTCTCGGCTTGGGCACGGGTACATCCCTGAAAAAAAAAAAAAAAAAAAAAAAAAAAAAAAAAAAACATAGAGAATCCAAAGGAACAACGAGACCTTTAAACCGAAAAATCCCGATCTACTGACCGAATGGTCAGTTGGACGCGTTGGGTGTTCTTGTCGTGGGCCGCCTGGACCCAAACGTTGGTCTGCGTGCGCGGCTTCCGGGAGAACCGGTCGGGCGCGCAGCAAGACTTGCACTCCTCCGCCAAATCGTCCTCCACGAGTCTCCTCTCCCACGTCTCGGCCCACTTTTCCTGGCGCTCCTCCTCCGCCTGCCTCAGCCTCGACTGCTTGTCCTCCTCCGCGGCTTCCCCGTCCTCCTCGGCGCTCGTGCTCTTCTTCTTCTTGCCCGGCATTCTTTTTTCACTGAAAATTTTCTTCCAACGTCACGTATACCTCGTAACGCTCCCAACGGAGGTTAGAGACGTCAAAAAAAAAAAAAAAAAAAAGAAAAACAAAGGAAAAACTCGCTTGGACCGCGTCTTACTTTACAACGCTGCACGTGGGCATCTATTTGTGGGAGCACGAAAACGGCTGTGCCCCCTTGGCTTCGCAGCCGCACTGCCTGGTCTTCGGGGTGTCCGGGCACTCCTTCAATTCTAGATGCACCCACGAAAGTTAGTGCCCCGCACCCCAAAAAACGAAAAAAATGAAAAAAAAAAAAAAAAAAATAACCCTTACTTGTGTTCCCCGAGCTCTCGCCGCCCGGACAGCACGGCCTCGGCCCTGCCCGAGACTTTCTCTTCCTGGAGGAGCTTAGCCGGCGCTGCGGCCCGCACCCTGATGTCTTGGCCGGGCCCGGGTCGCAGCAGGTCTTGGCCGGCTTCTCCTCGGACTTGCTCTGCAGGGGCTTCTCGCACGAGCAGCCCTGCAGCCGGGGCATATCGGTCAACTTCGAGGGTATGCGCCGGCACTGGAACACCGGGCTGTTGGCCGAGCCCTTGAACAAGTACGGCTTCCGGTTGTGCGGGTTCTGGAATTGGGTGACGACTTTGCGGCCGAGGCGCGATAGCCGTAGAAAGAGCCCGACGTCGCCGACGCACTGGCCGGTCGGCGTGCTTATGCGGTACTTGTTCTTGATGGTCCGGTAGGGCTTGCCGTCGTCACTGGGGTCAGCCTTGGGGCACTCCTGGAGCAGGCAGTTGAGCATGTCGCGCGCCTCGATCTGGCAGCAGCCGATGCTCATGACGTCCGGGAGGACGGTCGGGGGTAGCTTTTTGTACACGGACATGGTGATGGGGAACGAGCAGATGGGGCTGTCGAGGAGTCGGCGGGGCAGCGCGAACAGGCAGGACTTGCCCTTGCGGAACACCTGGGGCTCCTCGCCCATGCAGGTGCACTTTTCGTTGGCCGTGTCTTGGCTCACGTAGATCGGCGCCAGGTTTAAGATCTGAAATTTTAGGTTTTTTTTTTTTTCTCGTTTCTCATCGGTACTCTTCGATTGCGGGGCAAACTCGACGCACTCTGAACTCGATGCAAGTGGTCACGGGTAGTATGTCGTCGTGGATCGCCTGCACCGACGGGATGTTCACGCGGTCGATTAGGAACTCCACCAGGAAGAGCTCTTGCGTGGCGTCGCCCATTTTTTACTCTATCTCTCTCTACGCTACTTAACGATTTTTTTTTTTTCCTTTTTTTTTTGTATTTTGTAATTACTTTTACGTCAATCGATCATAACCACTTGAAATTTTGTTGAACGCCGAAACTGTGAATTTTTTCTTTCTTCAAAAAAACGAGACAACAGCTGCACCAGACGTCTTTGTTTTGTTTTGTTTTGTTTTTTTTTTTTTTTTTTTTTTTTTTTTTTTTTTTTTTTNAAAATATCCAATCACGAGTACGTAAGACTTTTTTTTTCTTATTTTAAATTCGAATCACGTTTTTTTGGAATAATCAACGCAAACGAGTTTTCACTTCGAGCTTAACAGCTATGAGGATTGAAAAAAAAAGTTTTATACGTACGCCATCTTATTGGGTTCCTTCTATTTACTTTGGTTTCTGGCCGTCAAAGTCTCTAGGTTATACCTGCAAACATTTTCGCAAATGACGACAAAATTTTCGTTTTCCCGACGCTAGGAGATAAAAAAAAAAGGAAAGAAAAAAGTTCAGCATCCAAATTGTCCGGCAAAACAGTAAAAATGAGTAAATCGAAATGCCAGGCGACGTCGACGGTGGACGCGAACATACCGCCCCGAAACAGCTGTCAAGAAGAGTACCTCTTTCTGCTCGAGTTTTACGTGCGCGAGATCCAGAGCTCGCGACTGGCCAAGCTCAACGAGATGTTCTTCGTGCCCACGACCGTCGCCTTTTGCTTCCTCGACTTCAACATGGTCCTTGCGATTCTTATTATTATTATTATTTTATTTTATTTTCATGCAAATCCACAAAATCCAATTTCGGTGTGTGTACATCAGGACGACGGGCTGCAGCTGACGCCGGTGGACCCGTTGTTCGAGCCCCAGGCCGGCATAGCCGACGACGTCGAGAGCTTCCACAACGGCAGATCGGTACTGTTCGCCCTGTCCCGCGAGGGCCTGACCAACATGCACTCCGAGTTCAAGATCAACATGAGCGTCGTGAAAAAGATGCCCGCCGACATAAAGCCGGACGTCCTGGTCGGCAAAGCCCAGATCGACATGACCCCGCACTTTGCCGCCCTGCGCAAGGAGACCATCGACATGGCGAAATACGGCGATTCGGCGATACCGGTAAACCACAACCACGGATCCAAGCGTATATTGTATGGTAAAGTGTATGCAACGTGCCGGACGCGCAGACCCCATCCAAGTGCCTGGACGACGAGAACGTGGCCCTGGTGTTTGGTGGTTGCCTCGTGGGTAGCCTGAGCGTCTTTGCCCGCGTCTCCGTCCACGGGCAGACGATCGTCACCGAGTTCGAGTCACCGAGCGACGACCCGTCCACCGCCTCGGCCTTCCTCTTCCGAGCCGACGACCGCGACTGCGAGGGCAAGCCCCTGGGGTACAAGTGCCGCGTCCTCGACCCCGAAAAGTGCGACCTGTCGAGCCTCCTCTCGGAGGACGGCTCCAAGGACGAGTGCGCCGTCTGCCAGCCACCCAAGCTCCCCTGCGCTCCCTGCCGCGTCGGCTCCGGCGCCAGAGTGACGTCCGAGGGCTGCAGCGCCCCGAGCCAGCCGCGCCCGGCCCCCGAGTGCCAGCCGAAGACCGCCTGCCGGCCCATCCAGACGAGCAGGGGCCCCAGGGAGCCCTGTGGGAAAGCCGTCGTGCTCAAGGTGAGAGGTACTTTGGTTTGTCTGTTCCGATGATGACGTGGGATTGGTTGGCGCAGGTGTCGGGGCTGATAGATTTCTGCGAGGATCCGACGGGTAAGAAGCAGCCGGCGCGGGTGACCGTGGCCGGGGAGGACGAGGCTGCGACTCCGGCGGACCTGAGCGACCCGGACCACGACGTGTTTGTCTTGAGGATCGGTAAGAAGGGATTGGTCGGGGCTGCCGAGAAGTCGGACATTCAGCTGGAGATGCGCACGCCAAAGGGACCGGACAAACGCCCTCCCGTGAGACTCGAGACGCGGGAGATGCAGACCGAGGAAGGCTCGGAGGGCAAAGGTGGCAAGGCCCCCAAGGGCAAGAAGAAGAAATAAAGTCCCCGTTTTTACCCCTTAAAACACGTGCACCGTTTGAATCGTTCAAGAGTGTGGCTTGCTGGATTTTTACGCTGATTCGATGAAATTCAAATAAATCCTTTTTACGTGAAGTTCCCTATGTCGTTAGCATACGAGATGATAAATGTCAAAGACACAGATTGGGCAGAAGCTGTATATTATAAATTTAAAATGTATACGACCTGTCATCCATGACAATTCTTGGGAAATGTAAATGAGGATTTTCAAACGATGGATCGTAGAATGGAGTTTGGGTGGATTCCATCGAAAGACAAATTTGCATCTTCAACATTATTTCGAGACTATTTTGGGTTTGGTATATGTATACGTAGAGTGTATACAATAGGACCTCTCGGAGAAGAGATAAGTGCCGAGTGTTGTTGGCTTAGGTGCCCATTGTATATTTTATCGTCAGTATGCACACGTGCGGCACCAAAAAACCTGTTTCTCCCTGCAACTGTGTCCATATGAAACACGTGCAGCATCGAACGAACAATAGCAGGCACGTATAATAATTTTTTTTTTTTTTTTTCTCCATCGGTGAAATAATACATCTGCGCCGGTCTAATTGTAACCGATCGCCATTTCCGCGAGCGCATTTGTATGCGTTTAATTATATGTATGAATGAAGCCACTGTTAGCCTTGAAGCGTCGTATTTTACCGGAAAAACTTCATCCGACAGACCTCGAATCTAGTTCATACTCCGCAAATAACTATTGTACACGAAACAGAAAGAGAAAATTTTCATTTGTTATGACGCAACTTTTTTTCTTTAACTTTTGAAAATACACATCTCGTGGGGCTATTAATACGATTCGGCAGCGAGCTGACGAAATTTTTCGTCTTTCCCACGCGTTGTCGAAAACACCGTCGAGGAATGCGTGTTGTATATACTCTGAATTATTAATTATTAACCACTTGAACGTCAATTTGGGGTATCGGCCAACGGCAATTGAAGCGAATGAAGTCACTCGAGAAGTGTCTTTCTGAATAAATGATTCAACGAAATTGTTGCGACGCAGTTTTTTTTTTCATGAATAGTATGGTACGCACAGTTGTTCTGTAAAATTTAATGCGTGATTAAATTTTTTTTTTTTTTTTTTTTTCGTTAGTTTATTGCTTATTTTTAAAGCACGAGCATAAAGCAACATCGGTTAACGTTAAAATGATTTGTTTTCGAAAGGAAGAAAAATATCCAATCACGAGTACGTAAGACTTTTTTTTTCTTATTTTAAATTCGAATCACGTTTTTTTGGAATAATCAACGCAAACGAGTTTTCACTTCGAGCTTAACAGCTATGAGGATTGAAAAAAAAAGTTTTATACGTACGCCATCTTATTGGGAATGATCAATTCGATACAATTCAAACGAAGCACGACAAATGCATACCTATAAGTGTATAAAAAGCATTAAATATTTATCAGTAACTCAAATCGACTCGGTTATTTATGGTCTAATTAGTAAACGATTGACAAAGCCATTTTATCTGAGGAAAAAATTTCACGTGTTCGATAAAAGTCTACGATAATTTAAAAACCAATTATCTTTCTGTATAAAATAATACGTTTAAGGAAAAATGAGCGTGAAAACGTACTTGATCGTACTGCCGTCCTTGCCTGTTGTCTGAAACGATCTGTTATCGAAAAAACGCTTGGCCGTTTCTTAATAATACCCGCATCGTATCGAATCCAATGTATGAGTAATTAATATTAGTCAAATTGATACTGTAAGGAGCAAGTCAGTGTTTTTTTTTTTTCAAATCGACAGAAAGAAAATAGGTCATTAATAAAAATGAAGCTTCTATCTATCGTTGCCTTTTTTTTATAGATTACTCAAATCACACTATCATTTTGAACATTGATGAAATATTCTTGGCAGTTTGTCGTAACAGAAAAGTGCTTCGATACTCTGATCAAAACGATTTTGCAGAGTCGATCGTTTGTTCGAGCTATAAAAATTTGCAATAAAAAAAATGATTGCATAGTAAAACAATTTTGAACGAAAAAACGAGGCACCAATGGTATTTCAACGAAAACGAACGAGAGGAGGAAAAACAAAATGCCATCCCAAAATAAAGTGTATTTTCAATCTTCGGATTACGTCTTATTTGTATGCGCACTTATCATCTGTAGTCGTGAAAACAGCACTTGACTTTTCGATCTGCAAAAATCGGCTCACTTATCGGCAATCCTCGGCGAAATCAGTCAAAACAATAAATACATAACGAAAGACTCAAAAGAGGCTTAATAATGACACGAGCTGAGAAAGACAACGATATACTTATTTTACCAATGGAAAGTAAAATTTTTTCTTGAATTAATTCGGTAAAACTCCAACAGCTGAATAACTCTTGATCTGACAATTTATCGTGCAAGATACTCAACTCGTGGTAGTGTATACAAGTAACACACATTATTTTTTTTTTTTTTTGTAATAAATCGGCCTCTTGAAAGCTGCGCCGAAAGGGTTTGTGCCTCCGTCTCGGCGTGCATTTTGTACTCTTGCATCATGCGACCGGTATCGAGTCTTAAATCAAAGAGACCCAAGAGCTCGAGCCAAAAAGTGCACCATGTATACGTATATAAATATATATATAGAGCTTATGAGCAACAGTAGCACCAATAGCAGACATTACAAATATTCCTGCAACACGTGTATTCTATACATACCGATCTGCGTATTAATGTCCTGCGCGTCTTTCAATATGTATAAAAAAAAGGGGGCCGATGACCCACGCGTGTATCCACACGTGCTCGGGCATACATATACATTACCGATCTCTTCGAGCTGTTGGCCGATTCTCTTCGTACATCGCCAGGGAAGGTCACGAACACTGTGTTACGTTTGCTGCGGACTAGGCGAAAATGGAGTTTGCTGCGCTGATTAGGCAGTTGTTTTTGCGTCAGCAATGTGGCTTCGTCTGCATTTTTTTTTTTTTTTTTTTTTTTTTCTTTCTGTAATATAACGCAAACGTGCGAGATGTATGTCTTCCCAGGTAATCCATCCGATGCTCGAGCTTTCAAATGCCGACTGTGACGTCGGAGTGGTTTTAGCGCTCGAGCTTGTTGCGTCATGAATCTTTGAACCCAAGAATGTTCGTTTTACATGTATGGTGCTTATCATCTAAATCGCAGTGAAAATTGTGATAACGAAATTTTAAAGAGAAAAACTTTTTTTTTCAGAATAGGGGCATCGCAAAAGTTACGATAAGTTTTTCCGAATCACTGAAAAAATGTGGAAAATAAAATTTGTCTTTAAATGATTAAAGCCTTTCGACTAAAGCACTGATGAAATCGTCCATACTTATAAATCGATCGATGGGTATCACCAAGTCGTAGATAAACTTCACAATCGGCACTCTTTGTCACTTCAGGTTTATCATTTAACGGTACGATAAATGTTATCCGTCGCATTAAAATTTACTAATCAGCGTTCGTTATGTAATCGTATAAACATCAAATATTGACTAAATACCGGTAAGACAAATAAAATCATTGTGTCTGGCGTTGCAGGCATACATATTTATAAACACATTGTTCCCCCTGTCAATGACAATAACAACAAGCTATTGTGTCTCTTTTTTTTTTAATTTTTTTAACTTTAGTTTTTACGGTCAATCAAACGATCACTTTTAACGCTATCATCAAATTTTTTTCAACAACAGTTTGCCGTAGTAAATGAATAAAAATGTGCAATAATTGTGAAAATAAGTATACTTGCCCCGTCTATACGTTCAATTGCGTCATCGGTGAACCTTCAATACATTTGGAGTAGCAAATAACACGAGAGCACGAGTACAAGTATTAAATTATTATACCAAAGTTCCGTTCTGGCATCGATGCGAAAAACACACCCGTCAAGGTTGTCATACGCAACACACAAGTCGATGATTTTCGGGTAAACAGTACTCTCGCGCATCTACCGATCTTATATCGAAGAGGAAACACCACGTATCAATCCGTGTACACGCTAATTTCTCTCTTTCCCCTTACACCTCGTTAACGTTCCGTCGGTATGCTAAGATACACGCGCGAGGCGATGGCTTTTCTCTTTTTGCTTTTGCTAATTTTTCTTTTTTTTTTTTTTTTTTTTTTTTTCTCCTTTGCTTCGATGATACAAAATCGCTGTGTGTCTGTGCATGTTTGGCGCGATATCGCGTGTATTCCGAATAATTAAAATGTAATCGCTAACTCAGTCGGGAGAGACGGAATCGCAAGTGTCCCCGACAGAGTCGAACAGTGTAGTTACCGATATTCGTCTTGGACCGACTCAATTCGCCCGATCGCATGACACGAAGAAGAAGCGCGAACTTGAATTTCGCACCCATAGTCATGATGCAACATCGGACGAACGTTTCAAGCTATACAGTAAAGGCAGACATGTGTGAATCCCTCGTGGGAGTACGTAGACATATAAGTATAGAGAGAGAGAGAGAGAGCGAGGCCTCCACGAAAAACGGGCCGAACCGACGTAATCGGCGTAGGTATGCCGGTCGCCGGCGCCTCGGACTAAATAATTATATACTCGTACACGCGACGAAGCAACGTGCGATGGTGAAAAATGGAGGAACGATGAGCCGAATACAGTATAACCCAATGATCGGGAGAAAGAGGCAAGAAGCCAAACGATAAGAAGTACAAGTAAGAACGAGACGAGACGATTCGCTCTTTTCTGCGTGGGTATGGGTACAATGTACATTCATATGCACTCCACCATTCGCTGGCCTATACGCTCGTATAGGTACTATATAAGTTGGTAAGTATATATCCTATACCCTGGCCTCCGTTACTCTGGCTTCTGTGGCGGGGGAGAGACTCTCGGTTGGAGTTACCAAGCCGGCGCGTATACACACACGCCAGTCCGATCCGACTCGCGCGGCTCCTCAGTTCACGATTGGCTCTCTTATCTGACGCGCACGAAAACCGCGTGGCTATCACTCGATAAGCTTGCACCTGCAGCCGTACTTACATAGGAAAACCAGCTGACGTAGCGAAAAGAAGACCCGGACCGTGAAATTATGAGATAGTACTGCGGGCACCCACGAGGAAATTTTTTTCGTCCCCAACCATCGGGTGTACATTTGTATTATTGTTACAACAATTGGGCCTTGCATGTGCTACGGTGTTCATTATTATTATCAGCTGCAGTGGTAAACGAGCATCATCGACGAGGCGAGTACAACAACGTTATTAATTATTTTTGTACCTCCGTTGGTAATCGGATATTTAAATTACACTCGCCAGCTATACTTGTGGCATGAATCGTTAAATTTTGCAACCGCACGAACAGCAGTTTGATGATAATTGTGAAAGAAAAAAAAAGAAAAAAGTTGTCTTGCAGCTCGTAGCTTTATTATTTTTATTTATTTATTTTTTTTTTACGTCGAGTACAAGAACCCGATTGAGCGCGCGCGCGACCGGAGCGATCGATTTTTCCTTCTCGCGTGGGCTCGTGCCTAATTTAAGCCCTCTCTCGCGATCGATCGGGAACAATCGTGTCCACCGCTGTTTGCCCGATTGCTCGCAGTCTTTTTTCTTTTTTTCCCCTCTACCATCGCTTTATCGTGAAAGGTGTGGTGTAGGCCCGAACGACGCGGAGTACACCGCCGATTTTCTTTGTGGAGCAGTACAATTTACAAGAACACGTTGTCCCTGTCTTTGCCAATAAATCACGTTTCGGAGAAAATCCATGGATCCATTGACCGACGAAAAGGTCCGCCGGTGCGCCCCTTGCGCCGTTACATCACCTAGCAGTCGGCGTCGCTCGGAAATCCACTAAAAATAGCCGATCCAACACGCCATCCCCCTTGGATTTTCCGAGAAACCCGTCGCCTCGGCCGTTCGGGGACTATATGTGCATGCGCGGAGGCGCCGGACATTTTCAAAGTCAAGTCGACCAAGACAATTTTCGGCTTACCCCCCGTTGAAAATACGTCCCTGTGTGAGCCTCGGGGAAGTGCAGCTATAGTCTCGGTTTCCTCGTCGGCCCGTCTCTAAATTTGAATTTCGGTCGCGTATATTTTTATCGGCCGCTGGCGTTGACCGTTTATACACACGCTTCCACCGTATGCGCCTCTTCCTCCTCGCGGTCACACAACATGTGTCATTATCATGCGTTCCGTTACAATACCACTGCACGGTCCATATATATATATATATATATATATATATATCGTTTACATATATGTGTCTCGTCCCTTTTGTCTTTTACTTTTTGCATCTTTTGGGGGGTATGAGCCCGAAAAACGCACGTAGCGCCTTACCTGTACTGTAGGTATTTTTTGTAACAAAAGTTATTACGCAAACCGATCTGGTCGCACAATATAATTTTTTTTTTCTGTTTTAACAACTGTCAGTGTAATTTCACTCCTGCGGAGTTATAGTTCAACACGTTAAACTCCACTCGTGAGGTTCCTTTTGACATTTTTCTCGCCATGGGCGCCTCGATCGTTTCGCCCCTCCGGACTCCCATGCACGCACCTATACACCAAATGCACTCGGTATAGAAAACGAGCACATGGGGCACAAAACGCGTACCATACAGAAACTTATGAGCCAGTATACGCGTCAGGTGTAGGCGCAGTGGAAGTCGGAAATATTTCTCTGTATACCGCAGCTCGCACGTCTTCTATACTCTCTAACGAGATCGACACTCGAGGTAACTGATTTATCGTACAATTCAATCACCCGTACAGTTAAATTTTTACGAAAGGCTATTACGGGACGCATTAAAATTTTTAATTAATTTTCGTAAATACTTCCGGGACGTTATCGATCGATACCAGAATGTCGAAATTTACGAGTGAATGCAAAACGTTAACTATAAGCTGGGAAATTTAAGAAAATCGTTTCATCGGACAGAATCACGTGTCAATAACTGGGTTCACTGGGTCTCGGCGGAATTGTTCGATAACATTTTTCAAATTTATCTCTCCACAACGATCAGTAAAACTCATTGTCTCGTATACTCCGAGATAGGTAAATTATACATAACACTTATTAAAGTTCTTATCTACTCGATAAGTGGTAAATTAAACATTTCAAGTATTCAACAATCGTTTGGATAAATAATCGTTCGATAAAGAAAACGTGACGCTGTCTGGCAATCAAATGTACTACAATGTTTATCTAGCAAATGCCTGGGACTAAGAGATAGCGAAGCTTTGCTTTGAGGCGCTGATATGCGACGCGTCGGAACAACTGCTGATTTAACTTTTGTGAAAAATAACCAACCAAGTTAAAAATAGGGGGCATTGGAAGAAAAAGGCTTTTTAAAAAGATTTCAGCGGTTGACCGTTTCTTCGAGATTTACCACTTTATTGAGTCTTAGCCGATACTCTGCAGTTGTAGTATACCGATCCTCGAGGGATCAACGAGGAACCAAGTCTGCATTATCGTGCTTCAAGTCGCCATATTCTTACGTTTGGTTTATGGCTGCCACGTCGAGCCAAGTCGGAAAACGTGGAAGGGATTTTCTCTTTGCTCCCTCGAGGCGCAACGCCATTTTCGGACGCCGAGCCAGGGGGAACTGTTTTTCAAGGACATCACCAACTTTACAGTCCCTTCGTTCATTGAACTTTCGATGCATCTACCTTTTTTTTCCCAACTTGTAGCACTTTTTTCATGAAATAAAGCTGGAAATTTGATTCCCAAAATAAATCACAGTGCTCCGAGCGGCTTATCGAACCCGCGGCCGATTTATATTATCGCGTACGTATGCGATGAGACAAGGAATTTCAAAGAGCTCGGACATGCGCTGGAATAGTGAAAATAATTACCTTATGAATACGAGACATGAAATCGTCGCGTTTACCACTTGGGCACGAAAAAAGACTGGCGCGCACGTGTATATGGTCGTCGCAATCCGCATATCCGCGTGGCTACATTTATGCGCGAAAATGTAACAGCCTGATGTAGTCCGGAACGTCATTTGTCGCGATAGTACGTGCATGTATAAGCTGCTCAGTGAATCGCGGTACGCGTAATGATGTAATCCGATCTTGGTGTTTCGGCTCTTGGGAGTCTGAATCGATAAGCTTGTAAACGGACACGGGCATTTGTTGAAAGTGTGTGTATATACGTACATGCTCATCCCGATTCCCCGTCGGGCGCTTTGAGCCGGTTTTAGATGTTCCAGGTATCGGTTACCTCTTTCTTTTTCTGCCTGCGTCGCGCTCGCCCGTCGAAAGTTTCATCAGATAATTTTTTTTCTTCCTTCCTTTCTCGCTGCACCTATTTTTGTACCCCTTTCAATATCACGTGTTGGGAGCTGTCGTGTAACATTGCAAATTGGTCGATTTGAACGATCGGCAAGTGTGCATAAAAGAGTATTTACCACCACGACGATGCACAAGTTCCATATATTTATACATCAACGCCTTTGGTTATCGGCGCGCGAATGAATGAGTGCTCGTTTCGTTTGCACAAGACCCGCTTTTTTGCTGCGCGCGATAACAACAATTATTTATCTCCATCCCACTACTGCCACGTATACTCGATTCGGTGTTACATTATGCGGATGTGTACGTGGAAAATCTCGCGAGTGCTTTGTTATTCCGTATACTCGTTTTAGATAAGTATTTTTATGCTAATTGTTCGTGATTGATGTTTACGACGGATGAATTTCTGCCTAGTCAAACTGTGTCGGTACAAGAATTACAATTTTTTTCTTTTTCTGTTTTTTTTTTTTTTTTTTTTTTTTTTTCATTCAAATTGATGACGAGCATCAATTAAAATACGCGCTGATAAAATAAAAAGGAAAACAAATTTTTCAATACGATATCCTCGTAACACTTTTCCTGGCATAGCTACGTATGGACTTTCAATCGATAATACCTATACTTGACAGTTTGGGTTTTCTCTCCAAAAAGCGGAAAAAATTTTAGCTTAAAGAATTTTACCTTGCAGTTGTTGATGATCATTCGCAACATTGATAGATACACATAATCTCACAAAATGAGATACGCATGTATGTACATTAACTTTGAAATTTCTTCATCCGTGCAAGCTTACGTCAAAGTAACGATGCAAAATCTGTCGATTTACAAGTTTGAAGAATCTATGTTTTTTTACCCAAGAATATCTTATTTGTACAGTACACGACGTGTATTCTACATAACGTTTTCAGACTCCTACGAATGCTATTTTTATCAGAAATACCCGCGCGCGCGCGCGCACACACACCGGCCTTTGTTCACCCCAGATGACAGCTGATTTAATTTCGAACAGGTGGTAACGAGTAACGAGTCCTTGAGTCGCAATAAACTTTTCTATATCTTGCTATTTATACCCTATCCAAGACTAGACTCTTGAAGAATTCGATAACATTGATTAAAACCAATATTGGCTCAAAAGTTTGTGGAATGGATTACTTTTGTTTGACGATCAGTGATCTTGAATTATACGATTATCCATGTTTGCATTATCTAATAAGTTTACGTGATCCATTTCGTATATTGTTTCATCTAATAATAAATTCAATTTTTTTTTTTTTTTATATATTAATTAAAATGCAGAAATTTACTGCAGAAGGGAATCAATAACTGCGTAAAAATTGTAACTTGGAATATTAATGAAGATTTTGAAATATCGAAGGAATTGGATCGTGGATAGGTTGCTGTCACCGATCAATCACTGAATAATCGCGAGTTTTGTCACTCCTTAATTTTATGTACCCCCAATACATAGAGAGTCAATATACAGTATGCGTAGTAAAACACGGCACAGTACAACGATTGAGTTTGTGATCGGAAAATATTTCTTGAAAAACAATATTTTTCATTACAAGATCAAATACTAGGTGACCTCAAATTTGCGTAACGATTGCATTACACGCAAGTTATCGTATTCTTTATGCACTATTATGCATCTTTGATCGTGTTGTGTATATATTTATAAATTTCCATTAAACGTCACTCTAGTATGTTTCCATTTATTGTAAGTATACTTGGTTAAATACTTGAACAATTTTTGCTTCTTCAAAAAAAAAAAAAAAAAAAAAAAAAAAAAAAAAAAAAAAAAAAAAAAAAAAAAA